AAAAAAAAAAGTATCACTCACTTTAATCATGAACAAGAACACATTTATAACTAGTCCTAAAGCAATCTGCATATAAACTACATGCTGCGAAAAAAACAAAACAAGACAAAACACGAAGACACGAGCACGCGTAGATATCCATGATCCTGCGTAGCTCTAGTTGTTTGATTAGCATATACCGCGTCCGATTCTGATACGGGCCGGGGGCAGGACAGAACAGGACAAAGTTCAAATTGGAGTTAACTAATGATGTAAAGGATAATGATCTTGCATAAAGGATAAGCACAAGCAAGCTTCCCTTATTCAAAGATTTCTGCTTCGGCTAAAGCGTATGGGGGTTTAATGGTATAATAATTGCTGTTACTTAATACAATAAAATACCATAATTATCTCCTGCATAAACGTGGTGACTTAATTTACGGACAAAAGTCAAACCGTGTGCCTCTTTTTTTAACACCTTTATTGACTTTGGCCTCCTAATGTGCATTGGTCATTTCATTCCATTAATTTAATAACAGAAGTGGGTCCTGACGTTTTTTTTGGGTTTAATAGACCGGTGGTAAGCCTTTGACGCAGTCTCAAATAGATAGAACAGCCCAGACGAATTAACAAAACTAGGACAATTGCGAGATCCAACAGGTCAAACATACATCAATGGCGTCGCCCAGAAACGATGTAGTCGTCTCTTTGCAACTTGGTACGAGTAACACCATGCTTCAAATATTCCTGTCGGGTCTGAATACAAAACACATTCAATTCCGAACTCCTAATCATTCAGTCGATCAGAAATGCTATATAATCTGCAATTTCTCTCTTTCAGTGCTCACTTAGAATAGTGAATTGTGAGTACTGTAATTCATCTGAATGTCTCCTAGTGGGTTAGTCCGGGAGCTGAGTTTTACGGTACTCCACGACGTAAACACCCATCATTTTTTTTTGGATTGCCTACTTAGTTCATTAGAGCTTTGCTCCGACTATATATAGATCCGACCCGTGTTGCGCACCTGGTTATGGTGGGTGAGTCTCCTAACGGGGATTTCTGCATACATTGAGGAACTCGAGATCTTGCTTAAGCAGTACCAAGCCGCTTACCATTTGAACTAACTCTCATTGGTAACACCCATCATTTTAACACACCGAGCACAACGGCATGCTCTTTTTTGTCTTTCTCCCAATAAAACAAGCGGATGACAAGGATATTGGGCTCAGGCCCACAACAGAATGGATTCGCCCTTGTGTGATGATGTGTCTAACTGCATAGGAGCGGCCCATAGACCCAATCAACCTTTAAAATTAGAGTTGCATATTAATCTGAGCATATTGGGCTCAACAAAGGTGCTTATTGGTATAAATCATGCGGTAATCCAAAAACTAATAATAAAGAATCTAATGAGACATTTGAATCTAATTAGATTTTGTTTCATTTTTTATTATTAATTTATCTGTTTCCTGGTCGTAATTATAATCTATGGATTTAATATTTTGCTCTTTTTGTGTTTGTTTCTGGGTTGAAATGTTCTTCTATTAGTGGGCCTGAGTTCTTTTCTATTATTTCTGTGATTAGATTGTCCTTTTGCCATCGTTAAGTATCTGTTAATAAAATTTCAGGGTACCGTTATCTTTCCAGCCAAACAAAAACGCTAGATTCATCAACTACCCTGATATAACAGTTTTCCAAGATGTATACAGCATATATCTTACTAAACAGCGAGGCCTCCAGCATATTTATGAAAATAGAAGAAACATTGAGCAAATGCTCATGTTCAACCTCCGATGCCAACTAGGAGAAGTAAAAAAGACACGTATAAGTTGAAGCTACGTTTTCAAGGTATAGATAGAAAGTATGCATAATTATAATATTTAGACAAGTTTCAAAAGAATGCGACGTAGAATTAGCATTAAGGCAGTTTGGACCATATATGAAATATGAGACTCAGATCAATTGCGGACCCATGCATCCGATGATGCTGAGGTTGATATATATTCGATCAGACTAAAATCAAACGAATGTGTTCTACGATGGATTGGGATCATGTTTGTTACGAGATGGAGAGTTGAACGTAATGAGGGTGGACCGTGAAAATCAGAAACGTGACGACCACTAAATTGTCAAACTCATTCCTTTTGATCGCACAAATAACAAAGCAACGCATCGGCTTCAATGTTTTTCAAAAAGTTGACTGAAACCTATAAAAAGCAAGTTAGGAGTAGAGAAGTCGCCGGTAATGGAAGGGTCACGACGATGATGAGGATTGGACGAGTTTGAAGTGGGTGTTGTGGGGACTCCCAAATTAATGAGCAGAGGGATCGATTGCAAACAGACAACAACGTTGACTTGGAATTACGAATCATAAGAAACAAATGGGAAGAATATTACGATGCCACGGGATTCAAATGACGACCAGCCGGCATTGTTGGCCGATCTAGATCCATCTCATAATCCCTCCCTGCACGCCATGATCTCACTTTGCAAATATTTTCCCCATTTCTCTACCTGCGTATATCTATGAAAATAATTCAAAAGGTTAATTAATGTGATGTTTTAAAGTTTGAATGTTGAAGTTAGTATACTTTAGTTCGAATGAGTAATCGTGATAGTTAAATTTGTCGCTTTCATATATATATTTGTAATTATTCATAGAATTGTGATGTGATCATCAGTTATTACTTACTTAAAATGGAATCATACCTCCTGACAATTCGCTCGCTCGCTCGCTCGCTTTTTTGTCGCACAGTTATCCCCAATAATCTAAGTGTATATTACGGCATTTAGTTTGTTTCATTAATATTCAACTCATGACTGGTTTGTTAATTTATTTTCGGACCCTACTAGAGTGGGAAGGGAAATTGGAAATAATAAACAACATATATATGCGCGCGCGCACACAGAGTTGGCCAAAAAACACACACACACACACAAAATCACTACATACATGTAAATGATCATTTATACATGTATATTATTTAGAGGAAAGCTCATTATTTATAGCGAACACTCTTGTCTCAAATACTACATCCAGTCCTTAATATAAGACTTTATTTGACTCTTATTTTAGTCCTAAATATAAAATTTTAATTCACTTTATCTTTCATATTTATCTATTTTTTTAAAGATAATCTTTTTAATAATAGTATTTCTAACCAATAAACTTAATTAGTGAAGATATTTTAGGAAAGACAACACTTATTTATTACAAATAACTCATTTAACTTATTTCTTTAATTTATTCAAATTAGTCAACTAGCTCTTATGTTTAGAAACGGAGATAGAAACTTATATAACGGCTGAGATAAAACAAATTGCATACGCGGATAAGGCAGTTGAGAATAGCATATGTTATTGTAATATTAATGTTTCAAACCCTACAAGAAGAAGGAGGAGGAGGAGATTAATCAACTGAAGAGGGATTAAGTAAGCGTATGGGTTTGGGCAGAAGAAGCAGGTTCAAAGAATATCAGAAAGAGTTAGGATGATATTTCACCCAAAGAAAGAAAGAAAGGAAGAAAGAAAGAAAGGGTTAGGATGACGAGTGGGATTGCGCGTATAATCGATGTGAGTAAACTTGCCCGTTTACTTGGGTCTTCCCTTTTGACTGGAAGTGGAATTTCATCTCCTCACGTGACTACACACGTTAATTAATCAATTTTCAAAAAAGAAAAAAAACATAGCACAATTCACATTGTCTCAATAAGTCTCTTGTTCCTAGTTCTTAGTTCTTTTCCCATCCATAGCTCTGCTCTGCCTGTCTTGTTCGCTATACAGGCAGTAAATTATTGCCCTCTATGATGTCTATAATAATTGCCCCTCCCTTTTGAATTCCCACTATCAAATATATATTAATTGAAGCACCTCTCATCTTGGAAACTCTTTTTCAATATGTGACAGTTTGCTTTCACAATAACACACAGATTAGATATATATCGACCATAAATGTTATCGTACTGTGTTGGATCAGTTGTATATGTCAACATTTTGTTTTCAAAAGAGTACAACGCGTTTAATTAGCATTATATACTAGAGAGAGTAGTGAGACATTCTGCAGAGAAGATTGTGATCTCGTTATGTATCTTCCACAAAACTGAGGCTGAGAATCCGTAGAAAGTAATTTCATGACTGCTATCCGCGGGATCAGATGTGCCAATAATTAATTACTATCTCCGGTTCTGGTTCTAATTATAAGACATTGTTTGTGGACTATAAATGAGATCTTATAATTAGGACCCGAGGTAGTATTTTCTTATTAAAAATTGTAACTACGAGAAACAGGAGATTAATTAATTAGTCAGAAAGGAAAAAGGGAAAAAGATGCTGTCTGGTTATTTGTCAATAATTTAAATACAGTCGAGGGGGTAAGCGGCAGAGAGAAAATCAAAGTTGTGTACACATGGTGCGTCAAACAATTGGGAATAATATACATAACAAAGGTCCCTGAAATGTGATACACAGGTATTCTAATCTGTATGTAGATCGGAATAATAACATGAGAAAATGAAGTCTTGCGTGGTAGCAACTTAAACAATGCATGTGACCAGATTCTCCAAAAACATATCCACACCACACAAATATATAGTGCTGATCAAAACGTTCAACACAAAACCATTTATGGAGAGCGGAGTTTGACGGCACACACACACACACACACTCTAAAGTTACAATTACAAATAATATTAAATGGGCTTAATTAAGGATACTGTAGAAGCCTGGAAGGTCATTGTTCCCACTACTTCACTTGTCCCATTGGAAGAGCCAAGAAGATGAAAGTGTCGCTGTGTATGGGTCGACATAAACAAAACTACCCTACAATTCCGTGTGCCTCAAAGTAGGCTTTTTCTCTTACTTTGACCGCCGAACGGTCCCTCCCTTGGAGCGTAGAGCATTCTGGATCGACGACCTCTTGAATTCTTGCACGTCACTTTTATATATTCTTTATATCTCTCCTCTCTTCTCCAACACTATAACCTTGTTCTTTATGTCTGTCTCCCTCATTAGTTTGTCAAATAGCCGCATTCTCTTACTACTACTTCTCCTTCTTCATTTCACACCCAACCTCCTTAGCTTCCTTCTCATATATCCCTCCACCCTCCTTCTCGTCATAACTGATCACGCTTTAACTAGTTCTTGGTTTCATTCATTCACTTTTGATATAGGGACATGGATCAAGTTGAGATTCCTGAGTATTTCATTTGCCCCATATCCCTCCAAATCATGAAAGATCCCGTTACTGCCGTTACAGGCATCACTTACGATCGTGAAAGCATCGAACGCTGGCTCTTCACCGCCAAGAACACAACATGCCCTGTCACCAAACAGACTCTGCCGTTAGACTCTGACCTGACCCCCAACCACACCCTTCGCCGCCTCATCCAGGCTTGGTGCTCTCAGAATGCCTCCCTCGGCGTCGATCGCATCCCCACACCCAAGCCTCCCCTCGACAAATTTCAGGTCCTCAAGATCCTCTCCCACCTTCGCAGCCCTCATTTGTATCTCAAGGCTCTCAGACAGTTAGAACTGCTCGCCGCCGAGAACGAGAGGAATAAGAAGTGTTTGGCGGAGGCTGGTGTTCCCAAAGCCATGGTCATGTTCGTTTTGGATTGTTTCCAGAAACGACGGATCCGCGAGGGCCTCGAAGAGGCTCTCAGTTTGTTGCAGTTTGTTAAAGTTCCGCCGGAAGAAATCAAGCTGCTTCTGCAGCAAAATGACCAGGTATTGTATTCTGTCACGTGGGTTTTAGGCTGTGAAATAATGGAGAACTCTGTGACTCTCAAGTCCCACGCGATTACGGTGCTCAAAACGATCATCCAGAAGGCCAGCTCCGGCGTTATGGAGAGGCTGAAACCTGAGTTCTTTAAAACAGTCGTGCGAGTCCTACGAAATGGAATAACCCTACAAGGGATGAACGCTGGCCTGAAAGTTCTTTTAGAAGCTTGTCCGTGGGCAAGAAATCGCCAGCTGATGGTGGAGGCTGGTGCAGTTCATGAGTTAATTGAGATTGAACTGGGGACGCCGGAGAAGAGAACGACGGAGCTCATATTAGGAATACAGTTTCATCTTTGTTCTTGTGCGAGTGGGAGAGCACAGTTCGTGAGCCACAGAGGCGGCATTGCGGTGTTGACGGAGAGAATATTGAAGGTCTCGCCGACGGCCGATGAAAGAGCCATATTTGTGCTGTCACTGGTATCAAAGTCATGTGCCTCGCAAATAGTAATCCAAGAGATGGTCCAGCTTGGGACTTTGTCAAAACTTTGCATGTTGCTTCAGGCCGATCATCCTTCGTATCTAAAAGAAAAGGCAATGGAGATACTCAAATCGCATTCTGAGGTTTGGAAGAACTCCCCTTGCTTTCCTGCATCTTTTAACGCAAGTTTGCACAGATGAATATACAATGAAACTATTAATAATGCCTTCAATTTCGAGCCAAGTGATTCAAGATTTTCAATTTTTAATCGTAAATTAAGTATATCATATCTACAGAGCTTTCTTGTGTGCAAAACCTCCGAAAATTAAAGCACGGAGAGTCGGAGACAAAGAGAGTGATCACCATCATTTATGCACAACTATTATATTCCTCCGTGATTATTCAATACAAGATCTAATTAACTAATATGAATGAATTAAAAATATTAGTTAAATTAGTTACTATAATATATTTTTTCTAAACCATCATAAGCATATTTTTAAAGTTTTTTTCTTCTCTTACTTGATTATTATTAGGAGAATGACAATGAGATTAATTTGAAATAAATATGTAAAATAGATCTTATATATAAGATCAATAGCCACTCTTCAATTAGATCCTCTGAGAATCAGATGAGTACTTTTTTATACTCATAGCTCAAAAACTCAGAATTTACATCTTGTCCTTTAGTCTTCAATTTAATAGCTCTATCTAGCACTATTGATCCCAGATCATGTTATATCCTTCAAAACATGGATGTGTATAGTTAATTATATACATATGTAAGATAAATCGTTTACAAGAGATTTTTTCTTTAGATAATCAAAATATAAATTTTATATCAAGGCAGTAACACATAAGATGCCGTGATTCTTGTTCTTAGTTTTGTTTGTTCTGTATTTTCGGCGCCGAAGAGAAGCAGTCATAGGGTTTTATTATTATGCATGCGTATGGAGCCTGATGAATATAGATTTCATTGTTAGTTATATTATTTAATTACATGGTCAAATATTGACTTGATTTTTTTTATAGATACATCATATATAAATTGAAATCCTACTAATATACACGTCGGCTTGCTTGCCACAGGAAATAGAGATCAGCTAGTGTCCGTATTCAATATAAAAATGCTTTTAAACTGAAGACATTTTTACAATATACGAAGGAAGTAAGTATGTAAATCGAATTAAATTACATAACTTTTTTTTTATGCGCCACATTCCTCTCAAAATAGAATATATTAATCGTTAAAAATATCAATATGTAAATCAAGCCATTGATGTTATGTTGCATCAATGTGTGTGTGTGTCCAAATTTTAAAATTAAATGATTTAGTTAGCTACATGATAGTAGGTGGAAACGATGAGGACACCGGTGGGTATAGATTAAGAGTTCAAACTCGCTTAATATAGTTTAAAAAAAAAAACAAACTTTCATGAAACTGTATGAGTGCGAGAAATTTCGAAGTGTTTTTTTCTCTGGGGTATTTTCTATTAATAAAACGCATCAAATATTGTAAAAAGATATTATGAATTACAAAGGGGATTTTATAATTAGGACAAAAAGTAGTAGTATGTTTTAATGAAAGAGGTCAGAGTAATAACAGGCCACTGTTTATGCTAAATGGGCTTTTATGGTTGGGACAATTTACTAGTGGACTGGTCATTTAATGTCTGTTATTATTGCTTTGCCTATGTGCGGCTTCATACATGTGACGTGTTAATGGCTCTGGCAAACAGTTGCACGGGCCCATGATCTCTCTCTATATATATATATGTATGTATGTGTATTTGCAATGTTGTAACGGAAACAAACCTGTGATCTCTCAACTGTAAGGGTCTGTTTGGTTTGAGGGGAGGGAAGGGGAGGGAGGGGAGGGAGGGGTAGGGGAGGGGAGGGGAGGTTTTATCCTCACCTTGTTTGGTTTGATTAAAAAGGAGGGGAGGGGAGGGTATTTAATAATCCCTTGTTTGGTTCAAGGAGGGGAGGGGAGGGATAGTAATAATCAATTTACCATTTTATCCTTACATATTAGTTTATGTTTTTATTGATATATTATATAAATTAATTTACATCTTAATTTAAATTATATAATTTAATAAAAATTCAGTCTTATCAGTTTTTTATTGACATTTTAGCTCCCCTCCCCTCCAAAATTTTTAACCAAATGAGGGGAGGGGCTCATTTTCCCTCCCCTCCCCTCCCCTCCCCTCCAACCAAACACACCTAAAAGAGCATTCTCTGGTCAAAAAAAAAAAAAACTGTAAAAGAGCATTTCATTTAGTTTCTTTAAAGAATTTCCATTTATCTTTTTATTGTGATGTAGAGTAGAGCCGGTAATACGGGTTGGGCCCGCGGCCCGCCAGCCCGCCAAAAAAGGCGGGCTTGGGTTGGCAATATGCCAGCCCGCCAAGGTGCGGGCTATTCCAGTCCGCACCGTTTTGAGCCCGCTCCGCCGCGGGTTAACCCGCGGGTTGGTGGGCTGGCCTGGTTTTTTTTTTAATTAAATTTTTCATATAATTTTTAATATAATTAAAATATTTTAACTCTCAAATTTCACATGAATAATTAAACATTGCTTCTTTCATATCATTGCATAAGTAATTAAACACTTTATATATTTATGATTCTGTGTGTAGTTATACGAAGATCATCATCCATCTTTTATTTTTCATTTTTATTTGTTGTGTCACTATAAAAGCCTTTATAAAATTAAATAAACATGTGATACTTATATATTTATGCATAAAATATCTAGTTAATTAATTTGGATAAGAAAACTAAATTACTTTGAATAAAAAAACTAGTTAAATTAATTATTTATAAAAAATATATTAGTTTTTAAAAATATATTCTTAAATTATAAATTAATCTTCACTTTATTTTATCATAACTTACAACTCAAATTCAAGATTCGAAGCCTAATTTTAACATTTCAAATTAAGCTTAACTTATATTAATAATAATAGTTTTTATTTTTTTTAAAAAAATGTAGGCGGGCTCGGGCTGGCATCAGGTGCGGGCTACTTCAGCCCGCACCGCTTTGGGCCCGCACCGCCACGGACTGGCCCGTATCCGCACCGCCAGCCCGCATTACCACCTCTAATGTAGAGTAGTATTTACAGATTTTTTTAATAAAAGAAAAGGTATTTCAGGCTGGAACATCATTGTTGCATGATCCTTTCTTTTGGAGGCTACTCATGACTATTTGCCATAACCGTTTTTTTTCCCCTAATTTAATGTAATCAAACACACGCTTGCACATGAGCTCAGATCTCATCTAAGTGTGGTGGATGGCGTTGTTGTTGAGACTTGAGACGATTAACTGTTAACTGTTATAACTATTCTCCAGTTAAGAACTACTATATATATATATAAGTAATTGTTTTTATTCTAAAATTTGATATTCATATAACGGAGTTTAACATTCGTATTGAAAAACATGACAGTGATGCTGCTTTGGAAATATCATTGCTGACTTTGGGTTATGTTTGTTAAATTTTACAATACGGGCATTAAATTTTAAAATCCTAATGTCAAAATTCATAATATCAGGGTCAAGTTATTGAGGGGCCTGGATATTTGACTGAAATGTCGGACTATTTTGATATTAAATTATAATTAATAATGGCATAAAATAATCACCATGATCATTCATATTAAGCCTTTTTATTTTATTTTATCAAACCATGATCATATTAAGCCTACGGTACAGTTTTTCCTTGGAACCAACTTAGACCATACCCACCGTATAGAGGCTCACGAGTTTATGACGAGTTCTTCTTAAGATCTACTTTTTTCCCCTTAAGATGTTTGAAGTAAGGAGTAATGACCCATTTCAAATCCGCAAAACTGAAATATTTTTTGCTAGTGGAACTTTGGAAATTGAGTTCCCCCCCACCCCCAAAACCATTCATTCAATAAAATAAATTCACGCATAGGACACGTACCCTCATGTTTAAGTAAAACTTAAAGAGATATATGTCAAAATTAATGTGGATGGAGCATGCACTAAAGAAAATAGGCTTACAGCGTGCGGAGGCGTAGCACGAGATCACGAGGGGACTGTTTTAGATGGTTTCATGTTCCATATAGGTTGAGGATCTAGTCTGCATGCAGAAATGTGGGCAGTGCTTTGGGGCCTCAAGAGAGCTTGGGAACTACAATGGCGTAGGGTGATCATAGAAACAGATTGCTGGGAGTTCGTTCAAACAGTCACGACTGGGTGGTCTGAGGACCATGGTGAAGCAGACATTCTTCGTCAGATTTGGGACCTGCTGTGCAGCGACTGCTCGGTCAAAATAGAGTGGTGTAATAGAGAGGTTAATTAAGCTGCGGATGCGCTCGCAAAAGAAGGCTTGAACATTGCAAGCGGTGCCGTGTTTTTCAGTCAACCTCCGGCGTTCCTGTTGCAGTTCATCGACTTGGACATTGATTGCCAAGTCTTTCGGCGTTTTTGTTTTGTAGCGAAAAAAAAGAGAGGTACTTAATCTTGATTGGAAAAAATAACCAAGCGTCGAAAACTAAGTTAACTTATTTGATATGGTGACATGAGTTTAGTTCAACAACTATGACATGTTACAAAAATGCAGCGACCTTCTTTTTCGGTCTTTTGTTACAATTGTGACTTGTGAGTAGACTGTTATCTAAGTACTTAATTAAAAAATCAAACTACCATTCCCAGCAATAAAAATCAAATTACATAAAACTACTCTTCTAGTTAACCAGAAATTAAAGTTGATGTAGTCTTTCTGCGGGGCTTTAATTAATTAAACGGTCAAAGTATATGGATGAAACACTTTAAAAATATAATAAAATAACTGCTCCAGAATTTTATTTATCGTGGGGTAGCTTTTGACCTCGTGCGTGGACCTTCTTTTGTTACCGGTTCTTTGGGTTGTTCTGTGGTTTACCGTTCAAAGTAAAAAAATTTCGTGAGTCTCTCTCCTTAAAACAATTTTGAATCGCTCCATATTGTACGCCTTTGGATACTTTTCCTTCATTGTGATCCATCACTGTTATAGTAACCATTTTTTAATTATCATCTGTTATTTGGCACCGTCGCCTAATCTAAATTAAAGTCGTCCTATTGAGCCTAAAATTAAAAGATCTCTCGCTGGGTGACTTTTTTTATTTGCAATATTTGAAATGTGATTCTCATTTAAGGACCATCAAGTCTCTTATACTTAGGTAATTGCTATTGTTATCAACAAGTCCATATTAACATGATTTTATAGTATTCATTCGAAGTTTGAGGATAATGTTCTTTTATTTATTCTTATACGAAGCGCTGTATAAAACTAAAAGAATGGTTTTGAAAATTATTATGGGTACTATTAGATTGTAGCACTTGAAAAAAATAAAGTTTGAGGAAATTATCTGGTTAATGTA